GGGGGGGCGGTGAAGAAACCAGGTTTTCCGTGGAGAAGGGGGGAGCCGCGGTCGAACATGGGGTTGAAACAGGACCTGGAGGCTGTGTATCCTAAGAGCTCACATTGATACAGTCGATCGCCCGGCCGGCCGGGGTGGCTCAGTGGTTGAGCACCGACCTGGGAACCAGGAGGTCAGGGTGCGATTCCCGGTCAAGGGCACGTACCCCGGGTTGTGGGCTCCATCCCCAGTGTGAAGCGTGCAGGAGGCGGCCGATCCACGATTCTCTCCCCCCCTCATGGATGTTTCTACCTCTCTCTCCCTCTCCCTTCCTCTCTGAAATCAATAAATATATATATATATTTTTTTTTATTAATTTCAGAGGGGAAGGGAGAGGGAGAGAGAGAGAGAAACATCAATGATGAGAGAGAATCATGGATCGGCTGCCTCCTGCACGCCCCTCCCTGGGGATGGAGCCTGCAACCCGGGCATGTGCCCTGACCGGGAATTGAACCGTGACCTCCTGGTTCACAGGCTGACGCTCAACCACTGAGCCACGCAGGCCGGGCAGGGCAGCTCTCTTAAGAGCTTGACCCATGGCAAGACGTCAGGCTGCTAACGAGGCTGGAACCTGCCTGTGCTCTCCAGAACCCCTCCCCGCTCTCCCTGTTCTTTGTGGCTCTCAGCTTCCAACCTTGGGCTGAGCCCAGCCCGTGGACCACAGCTGTCACCCCGCTTGGCAGGGACACCGGGACCCTTGGCCAGCGGGCCCGGCCTGCAAAGCTGCTGGGTTTCCCAGCTGCCCTGGCCACCCTAGGAGTTAGTTCTCCCCCAGCTGGACAGGGCCTGGCGGCCTTGGCTCCCAGCCTCCCCCTCCCCCGCCTCGCAGAGTGACAGCCCCACAGAGGCCAGGGCTGGGGGAGGGAGCCCAGCCCAGCCTGTGCGAGGGACTCGCTGACCTCGTCAAAGGTGATTTCTTCGCAGTCCCAGTTCTCGATGTTGAAGAGCATGACCACTCGGCCGTACTTGTCCCGACTGGAGAGGACGCCGGGGTAGCCGGCCTCCACGGTGCAGCGGACGGCCTCCAGGGACAGGCTGTCGAAGAGCTCGGGGTACTGCAGCCGGAAGTGCACGTAGCCTGGTGCGGGGAGAACAGAGGGGCCCCTCAGGGAACCAGCCCATCCTGGGGGGGAGGGGATCCCGAGGCCTGCGTGGGACCGAGCAGGACACCCCCTCTCTGGGATAATTGCCGTGGGAGTCAAGACTCTAGGCCGGAACATCATTGGTCAACTGCCCACAGGTGAGGTGGGACCCTAAATCTGAGGACGGCACCTACTGGGTCTTCCTCTCTCCCACGGGCAGGGGCTCAGGTGTCTCCATTGGGCACAGGGTGAGCTGAGTGGGGTGAGGAGAGGATAAAATCAAACCCCAAGCCCTAGCTGGTGTGGCTCAGTGGATAGAGCACTGGCCTGCGGACTGAAGGGTCCCGGGTTCAATTCCAGTCAAGGGCACACGCCCGGGTTGCGGGCTTGATTCCTAGTGTGGGGCATGCAGGAGGCAGCCAATCAGTGATTCTCTCTCATCATTGATGAGATGATGATGTCTCTCTCCACCCCCCTTTGCTTTCTCCCGCCTCTCTAGTCTATCACCAGTGGATTTCATGTAACCCACCTATGTCCCTCCTTTGATTGCCATGTATAAATACAGATGTAACCCGCCAATCTCCGGAGCATTATCTCAATCCATTGAGGTTCTGCTTCCCAGCATATGTCAACAGTTTGGCTCAAATAAACTCACAAAAATTCTTTACAGGTTTGATTGTTTTTATGTTAACACGGTTCTACTCATTGAGTCCTAAGACTGAGAGGACAGGAGCCAGATCTCTAGGAATCTGGTCCTGCCCCACTCATTCATTCATTCATTCACCTGCCCCATTCATTCATTCATTCATTCATTCATTGTCACAGCTGACAGTTTCAAGGGGAAAGATAAGGAGGCTCAGAGACAGGGAATGGGAGGGACGCAGGGGGGTCAGTGTGAGCTGTGGCTGCGTGAGGGTCAGCACCACCCTCCTCACCTCCTCTCCTCCCCCAGCTTCCCAGCGTGGCCTCACCTCTGAGCAGCTGGTAGGCGCGCTCCACGTGGAACTTCCGGGCGCGGATGAAGCGCAGGAAGAAGGCGCTGTCCTTCCCCCGCACCTTCTCGGCCACCGCGCGGGCCAGCTCCTGTCCGGAGGCCGCCTGCTCCCGCACCAGCTCCTGCAGCGCCCGCACTGCCTCCTCCCGCGTCTCCTCCCTCTCGTTCAGCTCGTCCTTGGCCTGGAACAAAGTGGGAGCAGGAAGTCGCGGGTAGGTGCTGTGCGGGGCGGGACACACGCACACAGGGTGAGACCTCGCTGGGGACACCTGGTTGTATTGGGAGAACATTAGGTCCATCTGTCCATCTGCTCATCCTGGCTTGTTGGCAGGACGTAGCCAATGGTCTGAATGTCTGTCATCATAACAGCCTGCACTTACGGGAGCCCCTGGTTAGCACTCTGCCCAGTCCTTGAAGTACATTGTGTTTTTCACCCATGAACCAGGTCACAGCTTGATTCCCGATCAGGGCACATGCCCTGGTTGCAGGCTTGATGCCCAGTAGGGGGCGTGCAGGAGGCAGTCGGTCCATGATTCTCATCATTGATGCTTCTCTCTCTCTCCCTCTCCCTTCCTCTCTGAAATCAATAAAAAAAAAATTTTTTTTTTTAATAGCCCCAGCCCTGACCGGTTTGGCTCAGTGGATAGAGCGTCTGCCTGAGGACTGAAGGGTCCCGGGTTCGATTCCGGTCAAGGACATGTACCTTGGTTGCAGGCACATCCCCAGTAGGGTAGGTGTGCAGGAGGCAGCTGATCGATGTTTCTTTCTCATCGATGTTTCTAACTCTCTATCCCTCTCCCTTCCTCTCTGTAAAAGATCAATAAAATATATTTTAAAAAAAATAGCCCTAGCTGGTTTGGCTCAGTGGATAGAGCATCGGCCTGCGGACTGAAGGGTCCCGGGTTCAATTCCGGTCAAGGGCACATGCCCGGGTTGCAGGATCGATCCCCAGTAGGGGGCATGCAGGAGGCAGCCAATCCATGATTCTCTCTCATCATTGATGTTTCTATCTCTCTACTTCTCCCTTCCTCTCTGAAGTCAATAAAAATAATTTTTTAAAAAAAGTCCCTAATATCAGAGTCTAGGACGATCCCTGGCTGGAGGCCCCAGGTCCCACATTGGTCTCAGGGAGCCCTGTGGGGGCTGTAGACTTGGATAGGCCGGCTGATGTCTGGCCAGCCCAGCGGCTGCCAGGCCTGACCTCCAGGAGGGCCCCTAGCACAGGCCAGCCCATGAGGTTCAGGACAACCCCGAGAGCTGGGGCAGGACGCTGTCTCCAGCAGCGAGGAGGCCATCAACATCCCCCCCTTGCTGCCTCCCTCACCTGCCCCCCCCCGCCCCCCCGCACCCGCCCTGCTAGAATCTGCAAGGTGTGTGGGGGCAGCTTGCTGCACTGGCCAAAGACAGGCCCATGGTCCTTGGTTGTGAGCCGCTCCAGCTGGGCACGCAGCTGCTGTTCCTCTTCAGGGACCTCGCGGAAGGTGCCGGCCTGCAGGTGTCAGGAAAAAGCAGTGACAGGTTCCCATCAGCCTGAGTGAGCCGAGCCCATGGCGGGCTGGGACCCTACCCTAGGGCTCCGGCCCAAGGGGGCTGGTAAGCCTCCTCGCTGTGGGCGGCGTCCAGGGCCATAGAGAGGTTGTAGGGGAGAATGCCCATGACTGTGGGCAGACCAGGTGTGGAGACGCAGGGAGGGGGCAGGGCAGGGCAGGGGGAAGGTGGGTGGAGGGGAGCCCCAGGGCGCAGGGGTACTCACCCCCCCTGACATGCTGCCTCCAGGAGCCCGAGTCCCGGGCCTCTGTCCTGGGAGAGGGGGTCGGGGCAGCAGTGGATGGAGAAATTGCAGATCTGGTCTCAGAACGGCGGCTCTCAAACTTTCCCACGCATCACAGTCACCTGGGGCATTTGTTGTCGTTCGGCTGATATTCCTTATTTAAATTCACATTCACATTTCATTGATACTTATGTGCTAAGTCTGCCAACAGGCCGGTCTGGCTCAGCCTGGAAAGTAGCCAGTTGGTTTCCGTTTTACAGGCATCTGTGCTGTGCGTGCCTCCCCCCCAAACCCCCCCATCCCTGACTCTTCACACCGTAGTCCTGGACTCCCCCCGCCCCCGCCCCGCAGCCCAGCTGGGCCCCCTGGTGCTCACTTACCTGTTGGTCCCGCAGCTCCTCTTTGAGGCCACCTGGTGCCTGTGTCCTGGGGGAGCCCTTGCGGTCGCCTCCGCTGGGGGCGTGGTCCCGTCAGCAGGCTGGGATTAGAATGTCACAAGGAACTTCTCAGGGCCCATGATTTCCTGTTCAATCAGGCTCACGGGAGGCCCAGATTGGGGCAAGCACAGCACCAGGGGGGTGAGGGGGTCGGCCCGGGTCCTCTGGAGCCGCCTCAAAGCCCTCCTTTGTGTGGTCTGCCCGGAGTTCCTGCTCAGCCATGTGGAAGCCGGGCTTTGGGGATGGGATCGGGGCCAGCCCCATGCCCCCCTCCCTGCCCTCTCCCTCCTCCCAGGGGGCTCCGGGAGCTCACACCCAGAGGAAGGCTTGCAGGAGGCACAGAGAGATTTTAAAGGTGATTGCCGATGCAATGGCAGCTTGGGGGAATCCAGACCTGCCACCCTCTCCCCTAGCCCCGCAGGGGCTGGCGAGGGAGTTGTCACCTCCACGGTGAGTGGGGCCAGTGGGGAAAGGTAGCTGGTTAGGCTGAGGGGGAGACAAGACTAGATAGGCCGACCCCCCTGCTAGGCAGTTTGTGCTATGGTAGGACCACTTTTTTTTTTAATTGATTTCAAAGAGGAAGGGAGAGGGAGAGAGAGAGAGAAACATCAATGATGAAAGGCTGCGTCCTGCACGTCCCGCACTGGAGATTGAGCCCGCAACCCGGGCATGTGCCCTGATCGGGAATCGAACTGTGACCCCGAGGTTCATAGGTTGATGCTCAACCACTGAGCCACACCGGCCGGGCCATCTCCTCTTCTTATAAGGATACTAGTCGTATTGCGTTAGGGCCTACCCTGATGACCTAAATTCAGGTAATATACCTTAATTTAAAGACCCTACGGAAAGGGTCAAAGCAGCGGTTCTATTAGGGCCTATCCTGATGACCTAAATTCAGGTAATATACCTTAATTACCTTTAAAGACCCTACGGAAAGGGTCAAAGCAGCGGTTCTCAACCTGTGAGTCGCGACCCCTTTGGGGGTCGAACGACCTTTTCACAGGGGTCGCCTAAGACCATCGGAAAACACACATATAATTACATATTGTTTTTGTGATTAATCACTATGCTTTAATGATGTTCAATTTGTAACCATGAAAATACATCCTGCATATCAGATATTTACATGACGATTCATACAGTAGCAACATTACAGTTATTGAAGTAGCAACAAAAATAATTTTATGGTTGGGGGTCACCACAACATGAGGAACTGTATTAAAGGGTCGCGGCATTAGGAAGGTTGAGAACCACTGTTCTAGAGCAATTTAAGCCTTACGCTCCAAATGCCTAAACAATGGGCTCTATTCAGGCACAGTCCAAAAGACCTCATTGCATCAGAAGGCACCTTCCCAATAAGACTGCAGCTAATTCTCCCAGCAGCAGAAATCCACTCCCATGAATAATAAAGCTTTGCTCTGTTATTCATAATAAGGATTAAACCCAGCGGGGTAAAATGCACAGTTGCCAGGTCAACTTAGTGTAGGGCTGAGCGTGGAAAAGTGAGCCCTCCTTTCTCCCCAGCAACGCCTGGTGGTTGGTACAGGATCCCATTTCTTTAAACTGCCTGTCACAGCTTCTTTTGCTGTGAAAGGAGAAGTCCAAGAACAAGTAGGCAACCCATCAATGTGTTTCTCTCACATCGATGTTTCTCTCTGTCTTTCCCTCTCTCTTCCACTCTCTCTAAAAATCAATGGAAAAATATCCTCGGGTGAGGATGAACAACAATAAAATAAAATCTCTTTTGATTATGGCCGCATGTCATAGGTGCATGACCCCGGCTCACTCCGAACCTTTCACCTACCTCCAAACACAGTCACATTGTGAGGAATTAGGGGAGAGGACTGTGACATATGAATTTGGGGGGGCGGGGGGGGGGACACAATTAAGTGCATAACACCACTTTCAAGGAGGTCTCCGTCAGAGCTGGGTGATGGAATCCATCACCAAGTGGGCCGCTCGGAGCTGGGCCGCTCGAAGCTGTAATAAATGCCCAGGGCTTAGGAGCAATAGAAAGTTACAGTTAAATTAGGTCATTGCAGTCTCTGGCTCTGTGGCAAAGACCACAGCTCCCTCTTAACATTTTTTACAAGCAGGTCACAGTTTAGCCAGGGGTGAAGAGCCTAACCTTTCTTTTTTTTCTTTTTCTTTTTTAAAAAATATATTTTATTGATTTTTTTACAGAGAGGAAGGGGGAGA